ATGTTGTGCAAATGATAAGAAAGAGATGATTGTGGATGTTATGAATGAGAAGAAGCTGGATGTCCTGGCTTTAAGTGAAACAAAGCTGAAGGGGGTGGGAGAGTTTCAGTGGAGAGGAATAAATGGGTTTAGGTCAGGGGTTTCAAATAGAGTTAGAGCTAAAGAAGGAGTAGCAATAATGTTGAAGGATAAGCTATGGCAGGAAAAGAGGGACTATAAATGTATTAATTCAAGGATTATGTGGAGTAAAATAAAGATTGGATGTGAAAAGTGGGTTATAATAAGCGTGTATGCACCTGGAGAAGAGAGAAGTGTTGAGGAGAGAGAGAGATTTTGGGAAATGTTGAGTAAATGCGTGGGGAGTTTTGAATCAAGTGTGAGAGTAATGGTGGTTGGGGATTTCAATGCCAAAGTGGGTAAAAATGTTATGGAGGGAGTAGTAGGTAAATTTGGGGTGCCAGGGGTAAATATAAATGGGGAGCCATTAATTGAGCTATGTGTAGAAAGAAATTTGGTAATAAGTAATACATATTTTATGAAATAGAGGATAAATATACAAGGTATGATGTAGCACGTAATGAAAGTAGTTTATTAGATTATGTATTGGTGGATAAAAGGTTGATGGGTAGGCTCCAGGATGTACATGTTTATAGAGGGGCAACTGATATATCGGATCATTATTTAGTTGTAGCTACAGTTAGAGTAAGAGGTAGATGAAAGTGTATAAACTAAGGAAGGAGGAAGTTCGGGTGAGATATAAGCGACTATTGGCAGAAAGGTGGGCTAGTGCTAAGATGAGTAGTGGGGGGGGGGGGTTGAAGAGGGTTGGAATAGTTTTAAAAATGCAGTATTAGAATGTGGGGCAGAAGTTTGTGGTTATAGGAGGGTGGGGGCAGGAGGAAAGAGGAGTGATTGGTGGAATGATGAAGTAAAGAGTGTGATAAAAGAGAAAAAGGTAGCTTATGAGAGGTTTTTACAAAGTAGAAGTGTTATAAGAAGAGCAGAGTATACGGAGAGTAAAAGAAAGGTGAAGAGGGTGGTGAGAGTGCAAAAGTAGAGCAGATAATAGAGTGGGAGAGGCACTATCAAGAAATTTTAATGAAAATAAGAAAAAATTTTGGAGTGAGTTAAACAAGTTAAGAAAGCCTAGGGAAAGTATGGATTTGTCAGTTAAAAACAGAGTAGGGGAGTTAGTAGATGGGGAGATGGAGGTATTGGGTAGATGAGAAACTTCTAAATGTTAAGGAAGAAACAGAGGCAGTAATTTCATGCACTGGTCAGGGAGGTATACCATCTTTTAGGAGTGAAGAAGAGCAGAATGTAAGTGTGGGGGAGGTACGTGAGGCATTACGTAAAATGAAAGGGGGTAAAGCAGCTGGAACTGATGGGATCATGACAGAAATGTTAAAAGCAGGGGGGGATATAGTGTTGGAGTGGTTGGTACTTTTGTTTAATAAATGTATGAAGGAGGGGAAGGTACCTAGGGATTGGCGGAGAGCATGTATAGTCCCTTTATATAAAGGGAAAGGGGACAAAAGAGACTGTAAAAATTATAGAGGAATAAGTTTACTGAGTATACCAGGAAAAGTGTACGGTAGGGTTATAATTGAAAGAATTAGTGGTAAGACAGAATGTAGGATTGCGGATGAGCAGGGAGGCTTCAGAGTGGGTAGGGGATGTGTAGATCAAGTGTTTACATTGAAGCATATATGTGAACAGTATTTAGATAAAGGTAGGGAAGTTTTTATTGCATTTATGGATTTAGAAAAGGCATATGATAGAGTGGATAGAGGAGCAATGTGGCAGATGTTGCAAGTATATCGAATAAGTGGTAAGTTATTAAATGCTGTAAAGAGTTTTTATGAGGATATTGAGGCTCAGGTTAGGGTGTGTAGAAGAGAGGGAGACTATTTCCCGGTAAAAGTAGGTCTTAGACAGGGATGTGTAATGTCACCATGGTTGTTTAATATATTTATAGATGGGGTTGTAAAGGAAGTAAATGCTAGGGTGTTCGGGAGAGGGGTGGGATTAAATTTTGGGGAATCAAATTCAAAATGGGAATTGACACAGTTACGTTTTGCTGATGATACTGTGCTTATGGGAGATTCTAAAGAAAAATTGCAAAGGTTAGCGAATGAGTTTGAGAATGTGTGTAAAGGTAGAAAGTTGAAAGTGAACATAGAAAAGAGTAAGGTGATGAGAGTGTCAAATGATTTAGATAAAGAAAAATTGGATATCAAATTGGGGAGGAGGAGTATGGAAGAAGTGAATGTTTTCAGAAACTTGGGAGTTGACGTGTCGGCGGATGGATTTATGAAGGATGAGGTTAATCATAGAATTGATGAGGGAAAAAAGATGAGTGGTGCGTTGAGGTATATGTGGAGTCAAAAAACGTTGTCTATGGAAGCAAAGAAGGGAATGTATGAAAGTATAGTAGTACCAACACTCTTATATGGGTGTGAAGCTTGGGTGGTAAATGCAGCAGCGAGGAGACGGTTGGAGGCAGTGGAGATGTCCTGTTTAAGGGCAATGTGTGGTGTAAATATTATGCAGAAAATTCGGAGTGTGGAAATTAGGAAAAGGTGTGGAGTTAATAAAAGCATTAGTCAGAGGGCAGAAGAGGGGTTGTTGAGGTGGTTTGGTCATTTAGAGAGAATGGATCAAAGTAGAATGACATGGAAAGCATATAAATCTATAGGGGAAGGAAGGTGGGGTAGGGGTCGTCCTCGAAAGGGTTGGAGAGAGGGGTTAAAGGAGGTTTTGTGGGCAAGGGGCTTGGACTTCCAGCAAGCGTGCGTGAGCGTGTTAGATAGGAGTGAATGGAGACGAATGGTACTAGGGACCTGACGATCTGTTGGAGTGTGAGCAGGGTAATATTTAGTGAAGGGATTCAGGGAAACCGGTTATTTTCATTTAGTCGGACTTGAGTCCTGGAAATGGGAAGTACAATGTCTGCACTTTAAAGGAGGGGTTTGGGATATTGGCAGTTTGGAGGGATATGTTGTGTATCTTTATACGTATATGCTTCTAAACTGTTGTATTCTGAGCACCTCTGCAAAAACAGTGATAATGTGTGAGTGTGGCGAAAGTGTTGAATGATGAAAGTATTTTCTTTTTGGGGATTTTGTTTCTTTTTTGGGTCACCCTGCCTCGGTGGGAGACGGCCGACTTGTTGAAATATATATATATATATTATATATATATATATATATATATATATATATAATATATATATATATATATATATATATATATATATATAATGATATCCAAATTACTTTTCCCTTCCCTTTCTCTTACCTCTGTCAATGATGGAGGCATCTTCATAAAAATTCCAATTCTTCCTTTTTGGGATAGATTATCCTTGCTGATGGTAATTTGCAACTAATGTTAACTCCAGCTATGCTGGGAAGCAACCTTTCAAGCTCCCCTAGCTGATGAACCCTTACTGGAAAATATGACAATATCCTTATTGCCCTACTGACGTATACCAGCTCAGGTTAATAAACTTCAACACCTTGTATGCACTCCATCCTGCGTAATGACAGTGAAACATTGTTAAATTTTATTCCCAGTTTGTTAAAATCTTATGAAATAAAGTAGCGGCACACTGTTGTTGTATCTTTTATTTTAGAAAACTTAATTTTTTCTTAAATGAGAATATTTTATCAATCTTTATCTTCTGTCTCTATTATGGGTTATACCCAAGTCTTTCTGGATCCTCAGCCTGTCGCTCAGTATCGTCCAGTATGTCTGGAACATCCTCTCGTCTGTTTGTGTCTTCTCTCCAGTTTTGTTATTGTCAGTGATACGCATTAATTCTAATTGTCAACACTGTTTTTTCTTTTTTGCCATGTCCATCCAGTCAGCCACCGATTACTGTCATTGAAACTAAATCACTCGGGAGAAAACGTATGCCATTTTTTTAAATATGTCTATAACCATTATATATAAAGTGAAGTATTTTTAGACTTGTCTATGAAAGCGTTGTGTGTTGTGTCGTAAATTTATTTCAATTGCTGATGTGACTCACGAAATCGTAATGACACGATTGCAAACAAACCATACCACGGGCGGGATTGAACTCGCGGTCAGAGAGTCTCAAAACTCCAGACCGTCGCGTTAGCTCTTAAAATTGTCACTCTGTATACTACCTTTCACAATTAAATACATCTCATATCCTAATTTTCATTGTTAATGATGTTTTACCTCTTTTAAAAACGATTTTTCTTAGTCTTTTCGCGTGTGTTTGTACTTTAAGCCAGTTTCACCACTTTGACTATCCTATTTACTTATTTCACTAGCTGGTTTCACTCTACGTTCTCCACAAATTATCTTCCCCTTCTCCATATTCCCAAATATCAACTGATCGGACTTTTTTTAGGTCTTCACAGTTTGCCTCCAGCCCATTTTTTTCTCAGGCAGCTCTCAGCCTCTCCACATTTTCAAAGTTTTCTTGTCTCTATACTCATCCTCTGCACTACTACGTTTTTTTCTCGTTTTCCTGCCATTTTCTCTTCTTACTGTTTTTTTTTTTTCACTAGGTCCTTGTTTTCTAAATTTGTCTTTTCTCCAAATTTATACATGTCCTTTTTGCACCAACTTCTCTCCCTCCCATCTTAATTTCCTAATTTATGTGCCTCACCTTCCCCACACGCTGATTTTACTCTCTATCGAGGATAATGATGTCTTCGTTAACTATATTTTCCATAAGTATTACATAGCCTATCCTGAGAGAGAGTATTTCCGAAGTAACAGAAACTCCAACTCGGCTGCAATTATATCTTCAAAGCTCCCGTAACTGAAGAGTATATAATCGAATGCTGTACGTTATCGATATCGCCAAACAAAAGTCTCTCAGTTCAGGCTGGGAGAGGGAATATGGCAGGTTAAAATAGATTTGTTCCTTTAATATAATTATTGAACTGTATAGGGTAGCACTCTGCTGATGTAACTAGTTTTGTTGTATAAAAAGAATCTTTCTCTCCCGGACTGGCTAGTATGGTGTGCGAGAGTCCGGTGTATTGTTCCACGTGATCACACGTCCCTCCCGAGGCCGCCTTGACGTGCAGATCTGGCGTCGTCCTGAAGAAACCATCTTCACTCTGCTCGATCTCAACAATGACCGTGTCACCTATGTCCACGAAGGCTCTGAGACCACCGAGGACTCCATCGTCCTAGAGTTGGAGCTGGTAACCCGCTCCGGCTATATCCTGCCATCCTACCTCCAGGTAAGTCGTACTTGGCTATATCCTGCCTGAAGATAAATTTTCCCTGGCTGTATTCTGCCATACTACCTGCTTGTAGGTTCTACCTGTATTACAAACAAAAGTACACAAACAGAGGCCTGATATTCCTTATTATAAATCAAGTCTCCTGACAAAGAACAGTTTGCAAGCAAATAAATACAAAGGCAAACACAAAGGGGCAGCGTTTAGTACCTGTAGTTAATCTTAACTAATACAGTAACAAACTGACCCAAGTCAGGTGTGGAAGCATAACATCAATTCAGCTGGGGAAAGCTCTCAGCCGGATTAGCTAATTTAAACGAAACTGAATCAGAGTGGCTGGGGACTCCAATCTGACTGTCAATTTGGGTGGTACATTAGTGCACAAATGGATGTTATAAATGGATGTTATAAATGCTTTGTATTGGACTGATGAAGCCACTGTGTGGCGAAACGTTTCTTTAATAAAGTTTCCCATATGTTGCATAAGTATTTCAGCTCTTCAACTTGTAGGTTTTCAAAACCATTCATCACATCTGTCAGACACTGCAACATCATGGGATCTCGATACAAAGAATTCTTTAATTAACACTGGTCCAATCTTCGGACGAAAACCTACTTACACTAGTGGATGGTCCCACTGTGATCCCGCCTCCTCCTGCTTCGACTCACCTGACTGAAGTATATAAGCTACCCCTCTGGCCCTATGCTGTGCTTCCTACAAGAGTGATGAACAACAGTGATTTACAGATATGCAAAACAGTTGGCATAAATGTGGAAAAAATTAGAGTGGGGACGTGTCAAAAGTGGTGTTCCAGAAAAGTCAGTGTTGGGCCCTTTGTTGTTCACAATTTACATAAATTACATAGATGAGGGAATAAATAGCGACATAAGCAAGTTTGCAGATGACACCAAAATAGGCCGTCGCATTAATTCTGACGAGGACACTAGAGCTCTTCAGGAAGATCTGAATAGACTGATGCAGTGGTCGGAGAAATTGCAATTGCATTTTAATTTAGACAAATGGAAGAAAATGACACTTAGAATTTTTATTGAGGAAACATTGGCTTTTTAAGTCCAATACAGAGAAGAACTGTGAACGATGAGAATGAAGTAATCAGTCCCTCAACCTGGAATCGATGTGTTCAGTCCATCAATCTTGAGAAAAGTACAGCATATGCTCAGAGAAGTGGCTTATATTATATAGTCAGGTGACTAGGAGCAAAAGGAGGCGGAGTCACCACTGGACAAATCCACTAATGTAAGTAGGTCATGGCTGTAAGTTAAGCAAGCGTAGCAGAATTCCCTGTATCAAGATCTCGCACTAGCTGGCGAAACGTTTCCTCAATACAGATTCCCAAATGTTGCAGAAATGTCTCATTCTTCAACTTGTCTGTTTTCTAAACAATTACATCACAATATAGACAAAGTTCTAAGCCTCGGAGAAGAAAATAATCAAGGCACTTATTTTTTAACTAAATAAAATAGATCTTAAAGAATTGAGACACTTATGCAACACATGGGAATCTTTATTGAAGAAATGTTTCGCCACACAGTGGCTTCATCAGTCCAATACAAAGTAGAAATGGGTAAGGAGAGGAGAAGTTTGAGGTAATCAGTCCCTCAACCTGGAATCGATGTGTTCAGTCCATCACTCTTGTAGGAAGTGCAGCATAGGGCCAGAGAGGTGGCTTATATACTGCGGTGAAATGAGGTATATAAGCCACCTCTCTGGCCCTGTGCTGCACTTCCTACAAGAGTGATGGACTGAACACATCGATTCCAGGTTGAGGGACTGATTACCTCAAACTTCTCCTCTCCTTACCCATTTCTACTTTGTATTGGACTGATGAAGCCACTGTGGGGGCGAAACGTTTCTTTAATAAAGATTCCCATGTGTTGCATAAGTCTCTCATTTCTTCAACTTGTCGGTTTTCTAAACCATTCATCACAAAATAGATCTTAATCACTCTAAATGAGGAAAAGATTTAGAGGTTCTGGTTGTTAGTATTCTATAACCAAGACAACTGTGCAGAAGTGTTCCCAATAAATGGAATTCTTGGGCTCATATCAAGAAGCATAAAGAGCAATAGTCCTTAGGTTATTCAAGTCTATCATTTTTAGGTCTCTTCTTGAATATGCTGCACAGTTCTGATCACCGTATTATAGAATGAACATAAATGCGTTAGAAAACGTTCAGAGAAGGATGGCAAAGTTGATTCCATGTATCAGAAGACTCTTCTACGAAGATATACTTAGATCACCGAAACTGTAGTCTCTAGAAAGGTGTATAATTACAGGAAAGGAGGGATATAATTGAGGTGTATAAATGGAAAACCAGGAATAAATGTAACGTGCTAAAATATGTAACAAAAGCAGGAGTAATGTTGAGACACATGTGCAACATCTGTGTATCTTCATTGTAGACGTTTCGCCATCCAGTGGCTTTATCAATACAGATTCAAGGACATAATTTGAAGACAGTAGAACTATATAGAAAAGATGAGGTAATCAGTCCCTCAGCCTTGGAGTTGATGTTAAGAGCACCGTAGTCGTGTAGATTCTGGAGGAGAGGCAAGGAGGCTGGCTTGTATACTAACGTCAGGTGGAAAGGGGACGTGTAGCAGACGAGTGCATAGTCACTGGTAGGCGGGATTCCCCAGTGGAAGTAGGTCATACCCAAAGGGATGGGCAAGTTGTAGTAGTGGTGGCAGTATCCGTATACCATACAGACAGTACTGAGCAGTTACGCTCATGCTGAGAGTCAGTATACTACCATACGTGCAGTAATGAGCAACTGTACTCATGCTGTTTATTAACATACATCAAGGAACACAAATAAGCAGCTGCAGTCATGTGGTGCATTAACATACAGCTATAAACAATATATTTATCAGCTTAACTCAAGCTGCATGTTAACACACAGCAATGAGCACAGAACTGAGCAGCTAAACTCATGCAGTGTTAAAATACAGTAATAAACACAGCTGCATCTTTGCTGTGTTAACATATAGTAATAAACACAGTACTGTGCAGCTGCACCCTTGTTGTGTTAACATATAGTAATAAATACAGTACCGTGCAGCTGCACCCTCGCTGTTTTAACATACAGTAATAAACACTGTACCTGCACCTGCATCCTTGCTGTGCTAAAGTACAGTAATAAACACAGTACCTTCCAGCTACATCCTTGCTGTGTTAACATGCAGTAATAAACACAGTACCTTCCAGCTACATCCTTGCTGTGTTAAAATACTGTAACCATGCAGCTGCACCTTTGCTGTGTTAACATGCAGTAACACAGATCCTTGCAGCTGCATCCTTGCTGTGTTAACGTACTGAAATAAACACAGTACAATGCAGAAGCACCCTTGCTGTGTTAAAATACAGTAATAAACACAGTACCATGCAGCTGTCCCCTTACTGTGTTAACTTACAGAAACACAGTACAGTGCAGCTCCACCCTTGCTGTGTTAACATACATTAATAAACACAGTACTGTGCAGCTGCACCCTTGCTGTGTTAACATACAGTAATAAACAAAGTACCTTGCAGCTGCGTTCTTGGGTGTTAACGTACTGAAATAAACACAGTACAATGCAGCTGCACCCTTGCTGTGTTAAGATACAGTAATAAACACAGTACCTTGCAGCTCTATCCTTGCTGTGTTAAAATACAGTAATGAACACAGTACCATGCAGCTGCACCCCTGCTGTGTAATCTTACACAAATAAACAGAGTGCAGTGCAGCTGCACCGATGCTGTGTTAACATACAGTAATAAACACAGTATTGGTCACAGACCGGGCCGCGGGTACGTTGACCCCCGGAACTCTTTCCAGGTAAACTCCAGGTAAACTGTGCAGCTGCACCCTTGCTATTTTAACATATTGTAATATACACTGTACCTGCACCTGCATCCTTGCTGTGTTAACATACAGTAATAAACATAGTACTGTGCAGCTGCACCCTTGCTGTGTTAACATACAGTAATAAACGGAGTACCGTGCAGCTGCACCCTTGCTGTGTTTACATACATTAATGAACACAGTACCGTGCACCTGCACCCTTGCTGTGTTAACGTACAGTAATGAACGGAGTACCGTGCAGCTGCACCCTTATGTTAACACACAGTAATAAACGGAGTACCGTGCAGCTGCAACCTTGCTGTGTTAACATATAGTAATAAACACAGTACTGTGGAGCTGCTGCACCCCTTCTGTGTTAACATACAGTAATAAACACAGTACTGTGCAGCTGCACCCTTGCTGTATTAATATACAGTAATGAACACAGTACCGTGCAGCTGCACCCTTTCTGTGTTAACATACAGTAATAAACACCCTTGCTGTGTTAACATATTCAATTCAATTCAATTCAATTCAAGTTTATTCTCTATTAGGGTTACAATGTGGGGTTTACAGGTTTTGGGTATTGTGTGGTTTACATGTTATAAAATACTAATTACAGAGGGGGCCACTAGGACACCTAGCATGGCTAGGCATTTCGAGCAGACTTAGATTAATTCTTAACATTATATCCTTACAGATTATGGTATTAAGGCTAAGTGACTACATCATAATTTGTGAGTTTAGCAATGTGAATGCTTTTGTTTTGGCACAATACAAGTTGTCTATATTGGAGTATCATAGGCAAACTTATGACTAGTTAGGATTTATTATTTTAAGACTAAGATTAGTATTTCTGGGTTTATAGTCAGTGGGTGAGTGAATGTAATTGTGAACCACCAGGTGGTTATCATGTAGTTAGTTGTCGGGGTGTATCAGGGAGATAAGATGTTTTCTAACTGTAGTTTTGAAAGTGATGAATGTGTCTGCAGTTCTAGAGTTTTCAGGTAGGGTGTTCCAGATTTTAGGTCCTTTGAAATAAACTGAATTTTTGTAAAGGTTTAGTCGAACATGGGGAATGTCATAGAGATGTTTGTGTCTGGTGTTATGCCTGTGGATCCTGTCACAACTATCAAGAAAGCGTTTTAGGTCAAGG